TATATATATATATATATATATATCCTATTTTACCTGTTTGGGTGTTTTGTCTGCATTTATGTCTGTGTACAACATGTGTGCAGTGCCTGTTGAAGCCAGAAGAGAGGGTGGTGGGTCTCCTGGGACTAGTGCTACAGACAGTCCCGAGTTGCTATGTGAGGACTAGGAACTGAACCTGGGTCCTTTACAAGAGTAGCCAATGTTCTTAACTGCTGAGTCATGTCCATGTCTTCAGCCCCTAATTGTTTGTTCTGAGTTAACCCTACCCACATCCCAGATGCCCCCAGTTCCCAGAGGACTGACTACAAGGTTAATACAGAAGCGACCATCACTCAGTATTTGAAGTTCCTGAGCCCATACATCAACTGAAGGAAGCATGTGAAGGATGCTAATGAGAAACATACAGCCATCACAGGCCTCTAAAACATTCCTGAGCACCCGACTAGAGGGGTAAGACTGAGCTCCAGAATGACTTTGTCTCCTATCCAGCCCTGCTTCTCCCAGTATCATCTGCTGCATGATGAGGAGATGCAAACACACTTTTGAGGACGTTAATCTACTGTTGTCTCAGATTGTCAGCTCTCTGAATAAAGCACAGAGATTCAATTCCTGTCTCTCTTCACTGGCACCTGTGAGCAGCCAGGCAGAAGGAACTCTGGTTTTCTAGTCACTTCTTTTTTACAGTTCCTTTTATTTCTCTTTAGTTTTTGAGAAGTGGTTTTAAGATAAAGTAGCTAATTTTATTATTGAAAGTAAGTCATCCTTGCTTATAGAATCTTCATCCAAGTTCTTTTGTTGCTCAGTAAAGTGTGATATGTTCAAATGAACAGATAGTTTTAAACTAAGTTAATTATTACTCTCATAAGGATTATCAGGACTGGGTTTTGGGAACACAGTGATTTATATGGGGGTGGCCAGTGGGGGTGGTTTGAAAGAAAATGGCCCCCAAAGAGAGTGGCACTATAGGAGGTGTGGCCTTGCTGGAGGAAGTGTGTCACTGTGGGGGCAGGTTCTGAGGTCTCTTTTGCTCAAGTTTGGCTCAGTGTGACAAAGAGTCAACTGGCTGTTGCCTGCAAGATGTGGGACTCTCAGCTCCAGCACCATGTCTGCCTGCACACCACCATGCTCCCTGCCATGATGATAACGGACTGAACCTCTGAACTGTAAGCCAGCCACTCCAACTGTTTCCTTTATGAGAGTTGCTGTGGTCATGGTGTGTCTTCACAGCCATAGAAACACTAAGACGGGGTTGTATAGGTTAATCTTCATTGTCAACTTGACTAGGTATAGCATCATATCAGAGACACTGCTGGGAAAGTCTGTGGGAACATCGCTAGACAGATTTAACTGAGTAGGAAAGACCCGCAAGTTACTCCTGCCACAGCTACCAACTGCTTCTGCTTCCAGGCCTTCCTCACAGCAGTGGACTCTACTGCTGGAACTCAACCTTTCCTCATTAAGTGGCTTCCTGTCATATCTGGTCTCAGCAATAAGTAAAACAAGTAGCCAATATGGTCTTTTTGTTTGTTTGTTTGTTTTGTTTTTTGAGAAAGGGTTTCTCTGTGTAGCCCTGGCTGTCCTGGAACTCTGTCTGTAGACCAGGCTGGCCTCAAACTCACAGAGATCCCCCTGCCTCTCTCTGCCTCCCAAGTGCTGAGACTAAAGGTATGCGCCGCCACCATGTGTGCATGTGCAAAACTATTTTATTAGAAACCATTTTATCATTTTCCTGCTTTAAGCAGAAATGTCTATGAGTTATGCTTATGGTTTTTGAACAAATAAAATAGTAAAATTTAAAATAAAACCACTGATACCAGGCAGTGATAATGCACACCTTTAATCCCAGCACTCAGGAGTCAGAGGCAGGTGGATCCCTGAGTTCAAGGCCAGCCTGGTCTACGTCAGGGCTACACAGAGAAACCCTGTCTCAAAAAAAAAAAAAAAAAGTTTCAGTAAAAACACCTTATCCAGAAATCTGAGAGATGTGTCTCAAAAATACTACAGTATCCTCACTTTTCGAAGTAATCTGATATACACTGGCCATGTGTCCCCAGACAGGAGAAAGGAGTTTCCCAAAGACTTACGTTCATGAAGACATCATGAGTGTAGTTGTCAGTGTCTGCATCCCAGAAGCATCGAGCAGCCATGCTGAAATGCCAATCAAGAATGGTCAGCAGTACACTGGACTATGATCTTCTATGGGCAAGTTCACTCCCTACAACCTCACAGGTCCCTGCTCTAAACCTGTCCATGGCACATGGAGAGAAATGTATTTGTAAAGCAAAGTATTCTGGACAACCAGCTAGAGGGGAGGCAGCCAGGGCCTCTAGCCACCTCAGCACCCCAGCTGGCTGCCTGACAACTACAGGGGTCAAACACTCCAAGTCTCTGGTACTTAGAGTGGCCCTCCACTATAGATTACTTCAGCTAGCACACTTGTGGGTGATTTTCAGTGGGTTCAATTCCTGCAGGATAATAGAAAAAGTGGTCTAACAAAGGACCCCACATAATACTTCATCCAATCTGGTTATTTGTAGAGACCTATACAAGACAGGGACAACTGAGCTAGAATTTAGTCTTCTAACTAGACCAGCATTAGGAGGTTCAAACCTGTAAAACCAACCAGGGCAGCAGAGTGAGACCCTGTTTCAAAAACAAACAATAGCCAAGTATAGCCTTGCAAATCTAATCCCAACACCTGGGAATTGGAAGCAGAAGATGTAGAACTCAAGGTCATCCTCAGCCACAAAGTGAACTTGAGGCCAGCCTGGGCTACAGTGAAACCCTGTCTCAAAAAAAACAAAAAAAAACTAGAATTTGAAAATACTGTTAGGGGCTGGAGGAATATGAATACAACATCAGACTGTATTTATAACTAATAAAGCTAAATCAAAGAGTAGTGCTTTTTTTTTTTTTTTTTTTTTTTTTTCCTGAGACAGGGTTTCTCTGTAGCTATGGAGCTTGTCCACTCACTGGAGCCTGGAACTCACTCTGTAAACCAGGCTGGCCTCAAACTCACAGAGATTCTCTTGCCTCTGCCTCCTGAGTGTTGGGCCCTATAGAATGTCTTGAAAGGATGGAAGAAAGAAACCTGTGCACCATGGCATAAAATGGAGGTCAAAGGGCAACTACTAAGAGTTGGTTCTCTCCTTCTACTAAATTGAGTCCAATGATTAAATTTGGGTTGTCAGGCTTGATGGCCGGTGCCTTAACTGATGAGCCATCTCTTTAGCCTCCCAGGACTTTTTGGAGCTTGGCCTGACTACATCCAACGAAGTCAACCCAAATCAGTAAAAGTTTCAAATACAAAACACAATTCTGAAGACAATTCTAGCTTTGTGGAGGCTGAGATTATAGTGAATTGGAGACCACTTACTTCCTATGCATAAGGCCCTAAGTTCAACATCTCCACCCCACAGACTGCAAACTAGATAATGTGGATTGTCAATGATATCAGAGTCAGGCCCTGCTGACAAGGGGCTGCGAAGTAATGCTATCACACCCACATGCAGAACATGAAACAACAGTGTCATGACTAAATAAGAGGTGACTCTAGGGACATGAACCTTGGAACCCACCTAGACCATTAGCCTTACTACTCAGCTGTCAGAACCTCTTCAGTGCATAGCTGCATCTGGTAAACCATCCTCCTCATTCTTGCAAAGACAAAGGCTCAGTGAATTATCTATCTATACAATGGATAACTCCCAAGGAACCCAGATATGACAGGAAAAACCAACTACTCACAATACTCCTTCACCCCTCTGTTCTCCAATCACTACTTGCACCACCATTTTATACCGGTCATATCCCAATTCTAGAAAGGAAAAGAAAAGAAAGTTATCTCTATTCAAGTACATAGTAAGGGCTGGAGAGATGGCTCAGAGGTTAAGAGCACTGGCTGCTGTTCCAGGTTCTGAGCTCAATTCCCAGCAACCACATGGTAGCTCACAACAATCTATAATGAGATCTGGTGCCCTTTTCTGGCATGCAGGCATACACGAAAATAGAACACTGTATAGATAATAAATGAATAAATCAAGTACGTAGTAAATGACCTACTGAACACAGATTCTTCCAGAATAGATGTAAACACTCAGTCCATGGGTACTTAAGGAATATGAGAGTGAGATTAGGGGTCTGAGATCTGGAGAGAAACCCTAACTATAAAAGTACGGCACAGTAAATCCTTAGAGCCTAACTTTTCCTTTGAATTTCTCTGTCTGTTAAAAGTGAATGCTCTCACCTGTTAGACTGTGAGGTGAGATACAGTATGCAAAGCTCTAGCTTAGTACTGATACACAGGGGTCTTCAGTGAACCTTGGCCCCTATCTGAGAAATGAGAAACCATTCCGCTTGCCTCGGGGACCAGAGAGCTCACAACAGAACTCAAAAGCAGACAATTTATTTCAGGAGTGGCATGCACAAGGTGTGACAGAGCTGGGAGTTCTTCGCTGGGGTGGAGGTGGAGGTGGGAGGAGGGGACACAGGATCAGAAAAGACTTTACCAGGTAAAGAGGGTTCTCCATTCTATGGAGAGGGAATAGCAAACACAAAGGCATGAGGATGGGACTCGAGGTGGCTCAGAGTACACAGTGCTTGCTGCTCCTGCAGAGGACCTGAGTTCCACTCTCAGCAGTTCACAACCACCTCTATCTTCAACTCCAGGGAATCTGATGCCCCGTTACAAGGGCACCCACAAATAGACAGACAGACAGACAGACAGACAGACACGCATGCACGCACACACACACACAAATTACAAATAAAACTAGGCAGATGGTGAGAACATGGGATCTTCAGGAAAATGTAAGCTATTCATTGACGTGGAGAGGAAGAGAAGGAAGGAAAGAAACATAACCTGGGCGTGGTTGCAAATATAACCCAGCACTCTGGAAGCTGCAGGAAGAGGATTTCAAGGCCAGAATGCAGGACAGCACAGTAAACTGGACAAAACACCTGAGGACTACAGATACCCTCCAGGGGCAGCTTGAACGAAATTCTTAGAAAAGAGCCTGGTGATGGTGGTGGTTTTGTTAGAGCCATGATCTCACAGTGTAGCCCTGGCTGATGTCACACAGTCATTAATCTCCCTGCTTTAGCCTCCCCAGAGCTATGACTACAGGTGGGCACCACCACCCTGCTCTCCAAATTATTTTTTTAAGAACACCACACCCTCACCTGAGCTTCCCCCCTTCTCTCTTAATCCCTAACAGCACAGAAATGTAAGTGGGACACTTACATTTACAGGGCTATACAGAGAAACCCTGTCTCAAAAAACAAACCAAAGAGAACACTGCAAAGGGTAAGCTAACTGAATGCCTTCACAGTATTATCAACTGGCCAACAGGTGAATTTCCTTCTCAGAGTTGTTTATAGTTGCACTTGACTATGTAAGGCCCTGGAGCACTAACTCATTTCAGCTGGCTTAGCACGACTATTTTTGTGACATAGCAGAACAGATTTTATAAGTATGTACCTAAAGTACTTTCTAAAAGAAATGTCAATTAATATTCATTAATTGTGTCATCAATTTATCCTGGTACCCCAGTGTTTACTACTATGATCTCTAACTTCTTAACCTGCTGTTGCTAATAATGCCTCTTACTTTCCATTGAGAGTACACTACAGAAGAAATATAGCTTTATTTATTCTGTGAGTATTGAAATACTAAATGTACTGTGAATAGCTGCCAATTCATGTGTTAGATGAAAATGGAATACTGTTTTGAAAACAAATCCTCCACTCTTACAGAGTAGCCTCACTGGAATAAAAGTTGTGACATTTTACCAAATTAAATGAAAAGAAAGGAAAAACTAATTAAGAGGTTATGGCTGGGTTTGTGACTGTGACTTTGTGGTACAACACTTGCCTGGCATACAGGAGGCCCAGAACTCTATCTCTGACACTACAAAAAAGGGGGCAGCACAGATAGAAATAAATAACTTTTCTGACGGTTTAACATTAAAAATAGGACATGAGGTGGTCATGGTGCCTGCCTTTAATCCCAGCACTCAGGAGGCAGATGCAGGTGGATCTCTGTGAGTTCCAGACCAGCCTGGTTTACAAAGTGAGTTCCTGGATAGTCAGGGCTACACAGAGAAACCCTGTCTCAAAAAACAAAGAAAAAAAACAAAAACAAAAAAACAGGCATGATGGCACACCTCTTTTCTCCCATCATTCAGGAGGCAGAGACAACAGATGAATCTCCATGGATTCCAGGCCAGCCTGGTCTACATAGCAAGTTCCAGGCCAGCAGAGCTATACAATGAGATCCTGTCTCAAAAAACAAAAAAGTTTTTGTTAGCAAGAGACAAAAGCACAAAATGTACTATGCATATGTCAAGTTTGGCAAGAGTGGAGGGCTGAATAAGAAAGGCAGTTAAGGATTCAGCAAGAAGTGGGCCTAGGACAGCCTGGGAGGGTACTGAACGCCAGACAAAATAATCTATAGTTGGTGGGGAAAACAAGCAAAATTTACCAAGGAAAGGAGGCCTTTCTGAATATTTGGGTTTCCTGGACATTGGTTCCCTATGATGCTTTCATGCAAAGCTTTACTGTTTCCTATAGTCTGCAAAATCCCACCTGAGTAAATGTCACCAAATAATTATAGAATTCTAGACTCTGAAGAAAAAGTTGTCTTTAACAGAATGCATAGTTCACCTTCTGGGTTCAAAGATGGGGCAGGGTGCCAGGTGGGCAGCGATGGCCCATGCCTTTAATCCCAGCACTCAGGAGGCAGATTTCTATGAGTTCAATGCTAGCCTGGTTTACAGAGTGGCTTCCAGGACAGCTAGGACTACACAGAGAAACCCTGTCTCAAAAGGGGGGGGGGGAGCAGTAACAAATGGGTAGAGTTGGGTGTTTGAAGCATTTCCAGCTGCAGCCCATGTTACCTTTTAGTTTATCCTTAATGGTTTCTGACAGATGTTTTGTGAGATGAGGCATTTCATCTGGAGAATATTCAGCACTTGCCAGTTCTTCCTTGAGCACGGCATGGATGCAGTCTTTAACCACAGAGGGTCTAAACCTAAGTCAAACAATTTGAGAATATCTAAATGTCAGCTCAGAACCCCAGTGTGTCTATACACTTCAGCCTTTTTGTCATCAGTAGCCCTAAAATACTGTATCTAGCTGAGAGGTGGTGATTTATGCCCTTTGGTCCCAGCACTCGGGAGGCAGTCTCCAGCTCTCCACCTTGGTTTTTGAGGCAGAGTTTCTCACTGGGACTTGAAAATAAGGGTGGCTCCCCAGGGAGCACCAGAGTCTGTTTCTCCAATACTGGGATCAAATTTTCATCACTGGGATTACAATATGCAATGACTCCTTTAATGGGTGCAGGAATTGCTTTCAGAGCATGACAGACAAAGATATCTCTACAACCACCCACCAGTCTACACTCCCACTTTGGCCTCAAATTTAAAAAAAAAAAAAAAAAAATCCTCTCTTGGGCCCAGTGAGATGGCTTAGCTGGTAAAGGCCCTTGCAGCCAAGCCTGAGACCCGAGTTGAATCTCCAGGACTCACAAAATGGAGAACAGAACAGAACCCATTCCCGCAAGTTGTCCTCTGACCACAGTGCACAGTAGTATGTGTGCACTCTACACACGCAATCCTTTTTATTTTGAAAGATGATGTTAGTGACTAAGATTTTACAGACTTAAGTGACCACCCTCTTCTAGCAACCTATCGGGCTGGTGGTCGATGCTATGCTATATGGGAGGGCTCTTTGTATAGACTTGCGGACACCAGAATTATCCCGGCACAGGTGAGCACGCGGTAACTCTTGGAGTACTGCTTGCACACTGCTTGTTTCTAACCTCTGTTTTTCCTGTCCCCCGTGCACATCCCCTAAAGCCCCGGAGAGGTCAACCACTCCCACGTATGGCTCAAGGAAGGAACTGCCAATCCCACTGCAGAGCTCACTGAGGGAAAAGTCGCCACGTCTGAAGGCAAAAGCCCGCCCAGCCCCGCCCCTCTCCGCGTCTCCTTGGCGACGCTCGAGCGCCAGAGTCCCACTCCCGACCGACATTGCCCTCTGTGTCCCGTCCGCTACGCGCCTTTGCTGGAAAACGGGCCTCAGAATATAGGTGTTCTCGGGCTCCCCTGTGTTCTTCTCCGACTCGTACAAGGCATCGGAGGTGCCAATGGATAAGCGGGTGGACACAGCCATAATCCCGCATCTGGATCCTGCCGATCTCTAGAGCGAGGCCCAGCCGGTTGCTGCTGCTCGGAGGTCCGGGAGCGCGTCCCCAGGGCAACCGGTCGCTCACGTGACTTGTCACGGCCACGCCCTCCCTGCGCATGCGCGCTGGCAATACTAACTGATGCCTAAGCAGTTGGTAATTAGAGAATTTACCATCCGCTCACAGCCAGCAAGCTGCAGGACCAAACCCATCCTAACTTCCTTTTGTTTCCTCTGTTCCTGGTTTTTGAGACAGGATACACGTAGACTGGCCTGGAATTTTTTCAGACTGGCCTGGAATTCGCTAGGTAACCGAAGGTGCCCCTGAACTCCGGCCTCGACTTCTAAGTTAAAAGAAGTAGAATTTATAATTTTTTTGTTTTATTTTTTGAGGCAAGTTTTTTTAATTGAAATTTTTTATACACTGTATTCTTATCACAATTTCCCCCTATGCTTATTCCACCAGATCCTCCCCACCTCCCTGACAGATTCAAAGAAAACTAATTCTCTAAATTCCAAAGGGCAGCCCAGAAATGAGCTCAAGCTGGACCACAGGAATTCTGGCTGTGAGATACTCAGGACTGGTGAAACCGGTTGCCTTACCTCCTGCAGGAAGGACAGTAGTCAACCCAGGCTCTTATCAGCCTATCAAAGTGTATACTGGCCTCCAGGCTCCCTCACAGATAGCTCTGGCCATGCCAGTCTCCTGGCCTGGCCATGTTCAGTCTACTTTCTCTCTGCCCTGGACTCTCTCAAATGCCTCTGGCTATTCCCTCATATCTATAATAAAACCCTTAACCAGGTCATGTTGGCAATTTCTTTACTGTGTCCCCTTGAATACACTTCCCACCCCACCCCCAACTCAGGCCCTTTCTTTACTTTCAACACTCTGGGGACACAGGTTGGCAGACCTTGGAGTTTGTGGCCAGCCTGTTAGCCTGTTTTAAGGAGGGAACGTAGAGTGAAAAGGGCCAAGGAAAAAAATACTCTGCCCCTGACTTGACCCCAGAACCAGTGCTTGAAATCCCACCAATGCCTGAGCTTGCTCCAGAGCCAGGCTACAGAATCCCATCAACCCCTGAGCACAGAATCCCACCAATCTCTGAGCTTCCCTTAGAATCAGGTCACAAACCCCCCCCTCCCCCCAATCCCAAGCCACCCAGGGCCTGCCTCCCTAAGAAACTATGAAAGCTCTGTAAAGTTTTCTGCTACTTCTCACCCTAGGGGCAGCCACTCTCCTGGATTTTTCCTTCCCATTCATCTCTTAAGTGAGGTTCCTTCTGCGATGTGACACATTCCATGGAGTGGAACCCGGCTGTAATAATTTCTGTGGGAGCCAGAGAAGACAAGAGTTTTAACACTTCCATTGGGGAAACTTGCCCTAGCAGAGCAGAGTTGTTACAGTTCCCCAGGACCTGAGGAGAACTCTAACACTTCTCCTGAGCAGAGCTATAACAACTTCACAGGGAAACCTTCCCTGCCACCAGAGCAAAGTTGTTAAACTTGCACTGGGGAAACCTTTCCCTGGAGCAGAACTGTAAGCTGCTGTGCTTAGAGTGACTGTGGTAGTCCTTGGCTCCAGACTGCTAGGATCTCTTTCCACCTGAGCTGCAACGTTTACAAGTTCTGTTAGGTCCCAAAGAAACACTGGAGGAGTCTCACTCAGTACCTGTGTCTCCTCCCAGTACTTCTCAGCCTGCCCCACAGCCTAGCCTCTCCAACCCAGGGCCTGGGCTTCACTTCCTTTCCCTCAGGTTCTGATTTCTACACAACTCAGTCATTTTGGCTACATGCTCTCTTGGTTCCCATGCATTCTCTTAGTCCGCTTGGTCCCCTCTCTCCTCTCGTCCTCTCTTGCCTCCCCCCCCCCCCCCCAACACACACACATAGCCTGGTCTATTTATTCTGCTAGCCATGGTCAGTCTGAACTCTTCCAGATGCCTCTGGCTGTTCTCTCCCTCATGTACAATAAGACTCTTCTTCTAACTGGGAGGTGGTGGCACACATCTTTAATCCCAGCACTTGGGAGGCAGAAGCAGTGGATCTATGAGTTTGAGTTTGAAGCCAGCCTGGTCTACAAAGTGAATTCCAGGACAGCCAGGGCTACACAGAGAAACCCTGTCTCAAAAAAAAAAAAAATAGGAAGGAAGGAGGGAGAAAGGGAGAGAGAGGAAGAAAAGGAAGACAGGCAAAATAAACACAAAAGTGAAAACCAAAATATACAAGCAAAAGGCCAATAAGATATACCCAAAATAAAGCAAAATGAAGCAAAAAAAAAAAAAGTCTGCCCAAATCCATTGATTTCTGTGTAAATTGATGACACAACTGCTCCATGATGTGGTTAAGATTTTTATTGTAGATATAAGAGAACAGCCAGGAATATGGGAATAGAGAATAGAGGGACAATATCGAGAGAAGCAGGAGCAGAGCACAGAGAGACTACAGCAACAATAGCAGGGTGATGAGGAGAATGAGTAGCTGTGGGGAGGGAAGCCCATGAGTTTAGGATGAGGAGGAGGTGAGAAGGGCTAGGATGCTAACATGGACTTTGAAATGTCTAAGAGGTATTTATGATGCTGAGGGAGTCTGGAGGCCAGCATGAACTTTGATACAATGATAGGCCTCACAGGTAACTGATAGGTATTTCTGAATCCCTGATAGTGGGGAATTAAAAGTCCAGGTTTAATGAGCAAAGCACCCCTGGGTGCTCTTGGGGGAACAAACGTGGGGAAATCACATGGCATCTCTAGGGACTGGAGCTTAAGTACCCTGTAGGCATGGTCTTGAACAGCCCCAGGGGAGAAGCCACCACCTTGTGGACTTAGGGCCAGGGTTTGGAATGGGTAGGAGTGGAACTGAAGTGGAGCTCCCAGCTGAACAACTGGACATCCCAATCTTTTTGGTTACTTTTTTTTTTTTTTTTTTTTTTTTGGTTTTTCGAGACAGGGTTTCTCTGTGTAGCTTTGGAGCCTATCCTGGCACTTGCTCTGGAGACCAGGCTGGCCTTGAACTCAGAGATCCACCTGCCTCTGCCTCCTGAGTCCTGGGATTAAAGGCGTGCGCCACCAACGCCCGGCCTTTTTGGCTACTTTCTGTTGGCATGGGATGACATGGGGAAGGGAGACGGTAGTCAGTGGGCTCATGCTCTGTGGGAAGTGTGGGTAAAGACACATTTGGTTAACTGTCATCCTAGAGACCTCAGGAATCTGTTTCTTGAGGAAGTGGAGAAGGCAAGTTGCTAGGAGAAAAAATAGGTTATTATCACCAGCCCTGTGAATGGGGCTGGCCATGGGAAGAGTGAAGACTGCCAGGAAGAATGGAGTGGAGATGTGCCCTGGTTGCACAAAAAGAGAGAAGGGTGAATGAGCCACATGAAAAAGCAGATATGAGCCAGGCAGCGGTGGCACACACCTTTAATCCCAGCACTCAGGAGGCAGAGGCAGGCGGATCTCTGTGAGTTAGAGCCTGGTCTACAAGAGCTAGTTCCAGGACAGCCTCCAAAACCACAGAGAAACCCTGTCTCGAAAAACCAAAAAACTAAAAACAAAAAAAAAGCAGACATGCACTTGGGTCTGGAGAGGTGGTACTCTAAATTGTCAAACACCATCAGAGCTGAGAAAAAATAACTCTCACCTGAGTAAGCAGAAATGAGACAGGTTTCCAGATACCTAGGGCAGCTATCCCAGGTTTCTCCATGGCCAGTGGGGACAGAGGTTTCATCAGTCCTCAACTGCCAGGCCCAGAAGATCTGACTGACTTTCCTGTGGAGGAAGAAGAAGCAGGGAAATCAATTCCCTGGTGTCCTGCTGGTCCACAGTCTGGACAGGGTCCTAGTAGCAGTTAAGGTGCAAGGCAGTTTTACACTCTGTGGGTGGCTTTCCTACATTTGAAGCGAGCTCCAGATGGAGGCTCTTCTGTAGCTGCCAGGAGAAGCTACAGATCTCTATTCTCAGATCTCTGAAGCGTTTGAGGTTTTAGGATGGGATCACTATCTCTTAGGTGTAAGCAGTTTAGTATCTCTAGAAGGCAAACCCAGTTTTCACAGTGTAAACAATTTAGTGCTTTTAAAATTACTCTTACATTACAAAATCTGGCTGCCAGCAACAGAGGTGCAGCTTTGATATTTCAGTAAATCAGCATTGTTTTAAACCTTATCTTTCATAAACCTTGTTTTTAGGACAGGACAGGAATCACACAAAAATCCATCTTAATCTAAAGCATCTTGGAGACCTGTTGTAAGATATCGGTGAAGTCACATGACCTCCCTCTTTTCAACCCTAGTCAAAATGGTGTTATTTTCAGAAAAGTTATAATTTGGACTTACCAGTTTTAAGTTAACCTTTGTTACAGATTTTTAACCATATCCATTTCCTTAGCTTTTTTTTTTCTTTAATAATGTAAAATAGCCTAAAATAACTTTCTCTGTCATTACATCAGATTCAGGACCAGAAAAGTCCAGAGGCAAATTCTGAGTCCAGGCAACTAGTTGTTAACCAAGACACACAGAACACGTAAACTCAGACATCCAAGACCAGTCAGAAACAAGCATGTGGCCAGATAAATTTACATATTTCCATCATACAAACAAAATGTATGGAACAGAAAGACAAATAAAACTTTTCACAGGAAACCCTGTCAGATGACCAACTTAAAAATCCTGAAATAGGAGTTTACAGTATAAGAAACCATAGGAATAAAAGAATTCTTAGGAGTGAGGAAGTTGAGAGTGAAAACGAGTGAGGGGCAGGACTGCAGGTGGAAACAGAGATAGCATAGTAGGTCTGCAGTCTGACCGAAAGGTGAGAGAAAGCCAGGAAGGAGCAGAAGATAAGGGAGACTTCCACGTGGGTCTGCAGGCTGCAAGAGCCAGAGCCACATGGAAAATACAGCCAGCTTAAACTGTGGGTCTCAGAGGCTATTGGGGGAAGGGAGAGAACAGCCATGCCCTGGACACGTAGCAATAGCAGCAGCCTTTGTCTCTGTTCCTTCTGCTAGAGATAAGGGGAATGACTTCTCTTGGCTGATGGGAACCAGTTTCACAAGTTCCTGAGGAATGCTGGCTTTTATCCAACTTGCAGAAATCTTCCTATAGCCCATG